CTTCGAACGCGGCTCAGCCAATCAGAATCAAGGACCGGAACTCTCCGTTTTATAAATTATATAAATAATAATAAATATATTATTGCTTGTGTTTCAGAGATAAAGCCTGATGTGTTTGCATGTTTCATGTAAATACAGTATGTCTTCCTCTGCTTAGTGATTTTTTCACTTGTGAAATCATGCATATTGTTGTTAAATATAAGACTTTATTAAAACAAATTATTCTTACTTAAAAAAAAAAAAAAAGTGTATTTCTTGTCCAGTGAGAGGTTTATGGAGGCTTGTTTCTGTCACAGAATAAAATCATAAAAAAGGTGTTTGCACAGTTTTATCTCACAAGTGAACAAGTGTCTCGCAAATGCAAGTTTATATCTTACAATTGCAAATTTACATCTTTGCGATTTTGATTTTCTTTTGTTTCCTCCACACAATAAAAGATCAAATAGAACTTATATCACAATTCTGACTTTTGTCTTGCAGTTGCAAGTTTATATCTCACAATTCAGACTTTTCAGTAACACTTTATTTTAAGGAGCTATTCTCGCTATTAACTAGTTGCTTATTATAATGCATATTACTAGAATATTGACTGTTTATTAGTACTTATAAAGCACATATTAATGCCCTATTCTGCATGACCATATTTTAGATCCTTAAACCCCATACCTAAATTAACAACTACCTTACAGCCAATTAGGAGTTTATTGAGGGAAAAGTCATAGTTAATAGTGAATATGTGTTTCCTATCTTAAAGTGTTTCCGACTTTTCTTCTCAGAATTCACTGCAAAAAAACGCTTTTCTTACTTAGATTTTTTTTGTCTTGTTTCCAGCCAAAATATCTAAAAACTCTTAAATCAAGAAGATTCAAACAGAAAACAAAATTTTGACAGGTTTTTTTTTTTCTGAAAACAAGACAATAATTTCTTACTTGTCTAGAAAATCCTTCTTGATTTAAGAATTTATAGATATTTTGGCTGGAAACAAGAAAGAAAATCTAAGTATGAAAAGCATTTTTTGCAGTGTTGCTGGTTAATATCTCTCAATTCTGAGTTTATATTGTGCAACTATAAATTGCATGAAAAAAAGTCAGAATTGTGAGATTATAAAGTCAATTTTTGAATCCCGTGACAAAAACAAGCTTCCATGGAGTTTTTGTTCCATTCATCATTCATTCACGTAATGATGTACAAAAGTCATAAGGGTCAATTTTGTGAAATTGAGATCTGTACATCATCTGAAAGCTGAATAAATCATCTTTCCATTGATGTATGGTTTGTTAGGATAGAACAATATTTGGCTGAGATACAACTATT